CACAATAGAGGCTACAGTTTTTACCCGATCTTCATGAAACTTGGTATACATGTATATATTGAGGAGATATCAGAAATTGGTAATAATCGGATGAACGGTTTCAGAGTTATTGCCCTTGACTTAGTAAAACCATGTCCAATTTGGCTTGTAGGCATGATAGGGACTACAGTTTTGATCAGATCTTGATAAAAGTTAGTATGTAAGTATGTATTGATGAGATCTCAGTCATGTTCGAAATGGGTAATAATCAGATGAACATTATCAGAGTTATTGCCCTTGAATTAGAAAAACGCGTCAAATTTGCTTTGTAGACTACAGTTTTTATCCGATCTTGATGGAACTTGGTATGCCTGTATATATTGATGAGATTTCGGTCAAGTTCGAAATTGGTATTATTCAGATGAATTGTTTCGGAGTAATTGCCTTTGACTAAGTAAAAATGCGTCAAATTTGGCTTGTAGGTACGATACAGATCTTGATGAAACTTGGTATGCATGTATACATTCATTAGATCTCAAGTTTGAAATTGGTTATAATAAGATGAACGGTTTTGGAGTTATTGCCTTGACTTAATAAAAATACATCAAATTTGGCTCGCGGTACGATAGAGACTACAGTCTTTATCCAATCTTGATGAAACTAGATATGTATGATGAGATCTTGGTCAAGTTGGAAATTGGTAATAATCGGATGAACAGTTTCAGAGTTATTGCCCTTGTGTGTACAGCGATGAGACATTGTTCATGTTTGAATTTGATGATAATGTGATGAACTATTTCAGGTTTTGCCTTGACTGTTCATTGAAAATTCATTATTAAGCCACTCAATATTTTATCATTTCCGACAGCTGGTAGTGGGCGCATGTTACCTTGCCTGGCAAGCTATCTTTACATTTCTGATCGAAGTAAGAAGTCACCAAAGAGTGACTAAAGTATTTTATTCTACTAGCTTTTGTTGTCCAACTTCATCAGGTGAAATGATTTAGAAAATATTAACGACGTAACTACAGACGTTGAAAAATCATAACCCTATGACGTTTGTTTTGTAACCAACAATGTCTTTTACATTTCCTACTGCAGGAATGAACAATTAATTCATCAATCAATGTTAATAGTAATCGAATGTTTTTAGTGAAACCTGCAATTTTGACCCTGTTAAACTCAATATTTATTTCAAAAATTAAGGATAAAGAAATAAATGTAGCTTTTGAATCTGTCTGAAATAATTTGTTGTTGTACCACAAAATTTGATTTTAAACAGGTATAAGATGTACAGCCAATATTGTATAAGAGATCCTACCTCAAAATACATAGCTGCTGAATATAGACAATTCGGGCATGGACATAAAATAATTAAGGAATGGCCTCCCTCCCTTCAATGAATATGGATCTTGTTATCGTTATGGGGAAATGAAGGCTGGTTTATCATCTGACAAGACGTAAAAGGTTCATAAAGCTCCTCATATTGCCCCCCATTTTAACCAACCTGGGGCCTTATTCTCGACGGCTTAACTTAAAATCACTAAAATTGATTTTAGTTCAAATTCGATTTTAACTTAAATAAAGGGGGTATTCTTCAAAATGAGTTTTAATTTAAGATTTGATTTTAGTCGATTTTAACTAAAATTGATTTTAGTGATAGATATTCCCGACCTGTCAATCAAGGTATGACGTCGTAATGTATCCAACCAATCAAATCGTCGTCTGTAAAGACACAAGGTCAGTCTGCCGTCAAGCCGCCATTTTGTCCCACATGAAAACAAAGAGACGTCGAAGGGATTTTAATGAATTTCTTACATTATTAATGTGCGTGGATGACCTTAAATGCTGACATATCCAAGCACACTTTTATCTTCTTAATTTACCCTACTACTAAAACTACAAACTGATAACTGATGTTACTGATGGATTTCATTAATTATGAAGCGTGTGGAAACAACGAACAGGCGACTCCGAGACAGCGTGAGTGAGAGAGTAGTAGAGTGTAGTGTGGAGAATCCCTGATGTCAACAAACACAAATCGGTAATTATTGCTTGAGTAAATTCGTAAAAAATCTTTTGACTCTCGAATCCTTGACTTGCTTTTGTGACATACACATTGCGCGACGTTAGTATGATTAGAGACGCTTTTGATTGTGGAGTCAAGTTCGACCTCTTGGCACTTTGTTAATTTTAGTCTACTAAATTTGACTTGACTTGTCAAGGCTCGTATAGAATCTTACTGATAGGGATACCGCTTAGACATAATAATGGCCTTCCGTAGGTTAATTGATAGAAAGTAAGGGACCGTTCATAGGCCTAGAGAATGTTATGTAGAGTTCAAAACAACAAATTGAGTTGCTTAAAGTGAAATTGGCCTAGGCTGATCTAATGTAAGTAAGCCAAAAATATATTTTCTCAATTTAAATTTATTATTATTATTTATCTTTTCAGGGATGCCACCTCAACTTAAAAAGAGTTTCTGTGATCAATCCACTAGTTTAGGTTAGGTCTAGTTAGGCCTGCCAATTATAACTTAGATAGATTAATCATAACCAAGACTCGAATTCGAAATTGTGCAAAAGAGGCAACAATTACCAAGTGAAAAACGATTTTTGGACTGTTAGTTAGCTACTGTCATGTTATATATGTATTGTGTCCTTAATAAAAAAGCCATGGCTCCCCATTTCCCATTCCACAAGTCATTTTCTTCACCCCGGCTATACTATTAATAATGAGCACAATTAAGGCCAATTTCTCTTCCCCAAAACTACATCCAAATCGTTTTAATTTGTTTTTATCATCACTTGTTTGGCTGCCATTTTGTTTCGATTTTAGTTTAAAACAGGGTAAATGATGTTTTAAATTAAAATCACGTTGTAAATAGGTTTAGAGAATACAACTTAACATATCTTAAGCCAAAATTTTAACTTACAACTGATTTTAAGAGATTAAAGTTTTCGAGAATAAGGCCCCTGGTCATGATTATAAATGTACACTTCTTGAGAAAATTCCAAATGAAGGCAAAAGCAAATTAGACAGTGCAGAAACTCTGTGGATTCATAGACTTGACTCTGTATGGCCGTATGGATTGAATGAACTCAACCCAGGGGGTTTCAAAATTGCTAAATATTAGTGTATTTCCTCCCCCCCACCCTTTTTTTCCCCTTCCTGTTTAGATTTTTTGGCAAATCCTGAAGTCATCATTACTTACTTGTTATGTTGTATCTAAGATTTTGATGTCATAAATCTTCTGAGGTCATGTTATCAAGAATCAAATTACCTCCCACCATTTTGTGATTTGACCCTTCTCTTGTTATGTGGTTTCTAAGATTGTGACGTCATAAACCTTGTGAGGTCATATTGTAATTTCAATCTTAACTGCCTTCCACCATTTGTAGTTTGTTTCTTCCCCTTATGAAGTCAAAACTTTTTTGAAGAAACGTTGGGTATTAAAGGATGGTATTTGATGTCAAGTTATATTATAAGATTAACAAGATTTGACGTATTTTCAATGAACGATTTTTTAGTTATTGCCCTTGACTTTGTAAAAATGCGTCAAAATTTGTTCGTGAGCACAATAGAAGCTGCCGTTTGGAACCGATTCTGATGAAACTTGGTGTGATCATTGGAATTGATAAGATCTCGGACAAGTTCTAACTTGAAGTATTTTGGTGAATGGTTTTTTGAGTTATTGCCCTTGACTTAGGAAAACGTGTCAAAATTTGATTTGAATGAAATTTGGTGTGATGATTTATATTCTTGAGATCTTGGTCAAGTTTGAATTTGACCATTTTTGGATGAATGGTTTTGAGTTGTGGCCCTTGACTTAGGAAAAACGTGTCAACATTTGTTTGTGAACACAATAGAGTCTACAGTTTTCAACTGTTTTTAATGAAATTTGGTGTGATCATTTATACTGATGAGATCCAGATCAAGTTCAAATTTGACGATATTTCAATGAATGGTTTTTGAGTAAGTGCTCTTAACTTAGGAAAAGCACGTCAAAATTTGTTTGTGAACACAATAGAGACTACAGCTTTCAACTGATTTTAATTAAATTAGGTGTGATTATTTATATTGATGAGATCTTGGACAAGTTTGAACTTGATGATTTAACTGATTTATAATGATATATAATTGAATTCAAACTAAAAAAATTTCTTCAATATGAGAAAATTCTTACTTTAGTCACTAAAGACTGTTTTATCATTTCTGACAGCTGCCAGTGGACGTATGTTACCTTGACTCGCAAGCTATCTTTCTATTTATACATTGATAAACTGAAAAAATGTTCAGGTCATTCTTTATAATTAAATCAACTTGAATACGTGTTTAGATATTTATCTAAAATAGCAAAAATTTAAGGCACCAAATTGGCGCATAAATACATAAATCTTTATCGTAACGCTAAAGAACTGATACTAACAATAGAGACGTCCTATCAGGAATAAGTCCTATCAGCCAATCAGCAATAAGTAGGTCATCCTATTTATAGTCTTCTGTCTATTGCATGAAAGTTGATGGAGCGGCCACATTGAAAGTTAAATTATTGAAAGACAAGGTCGAAATAGGTTCAGAAATCATGATTTTGTTGAATGTGCACATTCAAGGGAATTTGGAAAATACCGTAATCATTCAGTAAAGTGTCGATTTCGGCTCTCTGAATGTTCAAAGGAACAACATCGAGGCTGTGTAGTGGCCACGTCAATCAAACTCAATGAAAAAGTAGTCTGTTAAGGGGAGGAGCTTATATTTACATTCTGTTTACACAGATATAAACCGAATCCGCATGACCACTGTTATCCAATCAAATTGCGTGATACCGTGTAAATGGAATCGTGATTTAATTATTATAACATAATAATAATAACAAATCCTCCATAATATTTAACATGAAATGCATTTGTCAAGAAGAGGGGTGTTCTTGATAAAAGTTCTGTGAACCTTTTGCCAGGATTTGATCAGCTGCAGATCTCAATAACCCCAATGTTTGAAGGCATTTTTAAATTGATTTTTCAGGGTTTAGAGATTCATTGTAATGATAAAGCTCAGTTATCTCACATTTATCTATCATTTGAAACAGAAAAAGATAGAAATGAATTATATGAGAGAATGTTGCAACTTCCAGGTTAGTTTTTATGTTAGTTTTATGTCAAGAATTTTGTGTTAACTGTTTGTGATAGTAAGAAACCATTTTTGCTGCCAAGTATTTTGAATTTCTACAATACTAAAATACAGTTGAGAGGTAGGCTTAACTAAGAAAAACGTACCCCTTGACTTTATTGTGATACGGTATCGGGTACAGGTACATAGCAGAATATTTGTCAATTTTTGATGGGAGTCATTAGCTTTGTATAGATTGACTGTCAAAAAACCTCTTACCAGGGCTATTGTCCAATAATTTTACCATGCCACCAAACAAAGTCTCAAGGGAATTAACGTGAATCAAAATAGCAACCTGTGGTTAACTTGAGCAATAAACTTCCCACATCCCTTCAGCATTTCATATTGCACCAGGGAATACAAATTATTTCAAAACAAAAACAGCCATTATTAAAGAAGTGTGCTTATTCGATAATATTGCCTTGTGTTTGTCATATGCACTTTTTAATGTCGTTCAAGTCTTACAAAGATAGGCAATATTGATTGCCCCAAATGAATGTTCAAGAACCAGATTATTCCACCCCAGGCCACCATCCAGAGATATCGATCATGCAAAAAAATTGTTGACAGATCTGTCAGCTTCTGAGCAGTTAACGTCCTCTGCATTGATGGGCATTTACATGGAATCTAACAGAATATATATTGAAAGGTATACCTTCAATAAAAACTTCGTACCCGCTCGGTGTGCAACCAAAGGGGCAATTTCTCGTTAATAGCAATTTCACATTTTGTTGAATCAAAGTTTCCGCTAATTTATCATTATTTTGATTTAAATTAACCGATTTCCGATCGGAATCATCACTTACAACACTATAGGATATACTGCTATCCCTGTCATTCACAATATTCACGTCATGTAAAGAATACATTTGATTTTCGGTCATTTTCAAACGAAAATATTTCCAATTTTCACAGAACAAACACCTGGCATTGTTTACAAGTAGTGATTAGGGTGGTTGAAAGTTAACAGGTTACTCTCCAACAGAAGACACTGGCACAGGGTTAAAGCAATGTTCAGGAATGCTAAGGTTAATATGTTAAAATGGAACATTTGTTATTTCTTTCAGTAGTTTGTTCTCTAAGTGATTGTAGTAAGAACACTACTCATGTCGCATTTAAGGAGTTAAAGGAATATTCAGCTTTAAGATGAAATTGGCATATCGCGGTCGACAAGATAACCAAACCCCTTTAAACAAGGGAGGTAAATCTTCAATGTTCCGTCAACCTTCCCTGACGTTGTGATTATGGCATCGCATTTATAATAAGACTGTAAGCTTCAAAATAAGACTTCATAATATTGAATGACACTTGGACAAAATAAAACTCCAACAAAAAAGCAAACGCATTATTGTAAAATGATCATATTTTCACCTCAAATCTGTGCTTGTTCATGAAAATGAATAATATAAGTTCAATAGCGGCACTCATCGATTATTGAACCGGAATCAAAAAATGAATCAATGTAGAATTTGACATAAGAACTGCACACGAAATACAGGTTAAATCATAGAAATATTCATAGCTAATATTTTTAGCAAAATAATAAAAGTATATAGGAAAACTATAACAATCAGAGACCACATAAACCATGACATGTTCAACGTGTAGTTGTCCTACAGACTATACTATATTGTTAGTGTAGATATTCGTAAAAGGCTCTTAATAAGGGGTGGGTTTACTGGAGGGAAGGCTATCAACTATCATCCCGGCAAATTAATCCCATTGTTATTATGACAATGTCTTATTAAAATATCACACTATTGACATGTGCATGTATTATAGTGTCAGTGGAAACAATGTGTTCACACTGCCACAGTAGGAATATTCCATTATTTAAAAAAAAAAAAAATATCCAGAATATATATATTGTGAGAAAGACTTATGTTGTGGACTAGAAAAAAGTTGGTCTCTCATAAGATACTTTATTTTATATCCATGAAAATTAACAATGTATGTATAACAAATCTATTTTAACATTCCAATATCACAGTATAAATTGATAAACACATACCATAACAGTTTGAAAGGTTTTATGAAACAATAACTTTTAACAAAAAAAAAATAACAAATATAAGCTTAATACTTTGCTTACTCTTAACTATTAATAATAAAAATTCAGTTTTTATATAATATTCAATAGAAGTAATATTTTCATATCTGCTCAGAAGAAATTTATATCAAAAATATGCATGCCATGCACTAATATATGGTGTCAAATTCTAACACAAAAACACAATGCAAAGAAAGTGAAAATAATGTAATCCAAGCTTTTCAAAATGTTTTATTAAGGATATAATCAAACATTTCGCCTTTCATCAGGCACGCTTTCATTTTAATTTTTCAGAAGATTTTAATACCGAAAGTAGACTCCAGACTCATGTAGATCCGATTTGACGCAGAGGCCTCCATACCCGAAAACATGTACAGAACACAAATGGGGATCAATACCCAAGTTCTCAAGCTCATCATTAGCGCCAATAAAATGACCTAAGCGTTTGACATAAGAGGTGCCGAACACACAACAGGCACCGATGCTAGCCATTTTTTTTTCACACTAAAAAGTGGAACCGTACTTTGCGGAGCCACCGCCATTAACAAAAAAACAAAGCAGTCATTCCCACCGTTCCAGAGAAAACTGTTAAGCAAAGTTACAAAGGAACCTAGCGACTAGAAAAAACTGGCTTTTTACAAAAATAAACAGCACTTAACTAACGCTAACGATGCACAGCAACACGGGAAAACAAAAATAAAAAATTGATGCAAAACAAAGGAACATCAAACACATGTAGGTTGCTGTGCCCTTTCTCTGGAACGAATGAAGGGAACCCACGTGACTCATCACGTGATCATTCGGTCCACAAATTGTATTATTTTCAATAATATTCATACTACTATTCCAAAAACATCTGATGTCTTAAACATTTGTTTTGCCAAATTTCACCAAAATGGTAGGCCTGCAATGCCTTTAAAATCAATAACTTCTGTTCCAATTCTTGTACACAGTAGTTCTTCTTATAAATGTGAATTCTAAAATATAAATCAACGATCTTTAAATTATGAAAAATTTAACATTATGCCCTCCATATTAAATTAAGTCAATAAAAACTAGAACTGTGGACAGCTCCTAGCGTGGCAACAAGACAATTTTGCCATGGATTTTGAACCTTTTGAAACTCTGTTGCTTTTAAGCCTGCAATTTGTGAACCAGAAATTTAAACTTTTGGGTATCTGATAAATAAATCAAGTATATATTACACTCCAGAAATGTCACCTCAATATACTGCAAAAAATAATAGAACCAATTTATACTGCATCAAGATAAACCTCTCAATATTGCCAAAACAACACATATAGATAATCAGAGCTAGTAACCAGTGATAGGAATTTGATCATATCACTTTTGTTGACGGCTTCCCTCGTTAAATTTTGTCCACAAGTTGACTTCTGTCGATGAACTCTTCGAATTACTGACAGATTTTTACGAAACTTGGTGTGAGTGTTTGTAATCACCCAAGGATGAACCCTACTGAAAATCGAAAAATATTTAGTATGAGTTATTGCCCTTCTTCTTGAAAACACGTTCAATTTTTAGTCCATAAAAAACACAATAGAAGGCATAATTCTTGAAGGATTTTGATGAAACTTGGTGTGAGTGTTTGTTATCAACCAAGGATGAACCCTATCGAAAATCAGAAGATTGGAAAATTATTTACTGCCCTTGTTCACAAAAACTCTTTTAAGTTTTAGCCTGTAAACACTCTTGAAGGCCCAATTCTTGACAGATTTTGACAAAACTTGGTAATATTATACAGTATTGCCCTAAAAAGTTCAAAAGAAGTATTGAAGGTTGAAATATTTCATACTGGTAATTGTTACTATACTGCCAAATACCCTTTAACAAGATGTCCAAAAACATTGTAGGTCCACTCAGGACCACTCATTTAACACCATAATCACGTAATCACTGTTAAATTTCAAATTTTATTCCAGACGTTCATTATGAAGATTGTGGTCAAGAAGATATGACATTACGATGGCAAAGTGGACAAATTTCCAACTATGACTATTTACTTTATCTCAATAGGTATAGTAGATGTGATTACTTGTAAGGCTCATAAATCAACAAATGTTGGCTTTGAACTCTCTGCATAAGTAGGTTGTTTTGAGACGAAACTTGCAAGGAATAAATGGTTTATTTAAATGACATTTGTACAAAACCACTCATGAAAATGATTAATGGTGTTCTCAGTTCTAAAAAAACTATGGTGCTTCCTAGACAGGAGGCTTTAGATAACAAAACTTCTGTCATGATAAAACAATTTATTCCTTTGTTTCGTGTGTCTACTAAAACGCAAATTTAAAAAAAGCTTTTTTTGATGGTTTAGGCCCTTCTTAGTAAGTGAATATTGCTGTCGCCCCTGTCAATCGGGCTGTCCACCCACATTTATTATGAATACGTCCACATGGAAATGTGGACATATTTTTACTTCGCCCCTGTCCGTCCGTTCAAATTTCTTGTAGGCATGATAGAGGCTACAGTTTTTATCCGATCTTCATGAAACTTGGTATTCATGTATATATTAATGAGATCTAAGTCGAAATTGGTAATAACGGGATGATTGGTTTCAAAGTTATTGCCCTTGACTTTGCAAAAACGAATCAAATTTTGATTGTACCCACGATAGAGACTACAGTTTTTATCCAACCTAGATGAAACTAGGTATGCATGTATATGTTGATGAGATCTCACGCTAGTTCGTAATTGGTAACGTCCATTGCTTAGACATAAAGGTAAATGCCTTTGGTTTATAATAAAGCTTACATTGCGACAAATTACTGACACCATGTAGGCCCATGGTCTACACGCTATGACAAATACGTTACTTTTATGCTTTAGTACGTTTGGACAACGCTTGACTTTTACTACAGTAAATACGTTATACGTTTTGTGTTATAAATATAGCGTTAGAAAAGTGCCCAAGTCATTTTTTGTCATTTTGAGGAAAAGACGAAAAACTATTTTAAAACAGTATTAATGATCTTTAATTATGTAAAACAATTTCATTACAAGCACAAAATACAATAAAGCTTAATTACTAAATATGTAACAAGAATATGACAAAGAACAACAATTTTAAACAAAAATCATGAGTTGGGTAAATTTCATATGACTTGGGCAATTATATTAAACATTGGACTTTTATCTGTTATAATTTTATTGCTACCTCCCCTTTAAATATATGGTAATTTATCATAATAATCATGACAACATCTAGGCAAAACATGTTTCATTGATTGTAAGTCATTGAAATTGATAGACGGGACTTGAAGATGGAGTCTTTCATTTTTGTTTCTAATCCATTGTTGTGTGTCAAACACTTCTATAAATCGATTGGCCGGTTATCCTAACGACTCTGTCCAGTCTCTAATTAATTCGTATTTAGCTAATTACCGAGGGAATCCCCGTGTTTACATTTCCAATAGTCCCGATTTCCAATGTTTAATTTGATTGGCTATTATTTTTAAAAGAATGCGCGCATGCGCATCAGAAAAGTCGATCATAACAAAGAAAATTATGTCACTTAAAACAATGGCGGCACGAAGAATACGGTTCTAGCAATTATATTTTGGTATTCGGTTTTCTATCTCTTATGCCAGTGCAAAATATGTTTCCATTTGTTCAAGATGAATAATTGTAATCATTTTAAGTATATTCTTACTTACCATATTGCTTTTCTCCTCTGCTGGACTAAATATATCGAATTACGAAAATGTGGATAAACTCTCCAATTTAAATCAGAAATTATCATGTCACGTGATCTCTAGCTTTGACGCCATTACCTCATTCCTAAACGTAAATAGACCAAGGGCTTCCCCGAGCTTGGCGAAGCCTTTGTGTGGTTGATTGACAAACTAATGTTTGGATTAACCACTAGAAAGGCCAATTAATCTATGGATAAGCTCTTTTAATCTCTTTTGGACTACTTTTAATCAAGAAAACCCATCTTTAAAAAAATTCGTAAAATTGAGAGGATTTGTTAAAATTTGTTGAGGTAATTCTGTCCAGTGATTTTCCTGATCAAAACTTAATTCGAAATTAATGCTGTTTTGAACTCCATTATATTAAATTGCCCGTAAATCATGAACAGTTGGATCACCCGGTTTTCGTCCTGGTCGTATGCTTGTTATATAAGACCTATCTAATTTTTTTACATCAAATTGAACATTATATGGGTCGTTCCTTGCAGTTTGTATCAAAAGTTAATAATCTCTAGGAGTGTATATGTCCACATGCAGTTTCCTTTCGATAACACTATGCATGCTGTCGCATTCCATTTGAGTATGGCCTGAGACAAGGAATTTTTGGACAATGCTAACGTTGTGTTGTTTTGATAGATGAAACAAGTAATCGAATTCCGTTTTGGTAGCCACAACAATCGCTCCAAATAATTAATTGCGAAATTGTGTGGTCATTTTGTAGAATTTTGTCAAAATGTTGATACTGTAACCAACCAAATATATCACTGCAAAGATTACCCTGAGTTTCATCCCATATGTAGCAATACCCTTCTTTATTTTTAATATTATACAAAGTAAAGTTATGAATCTGTAGTTTAGTTTTGTAGTAAAGGGAACTTGCTAGTGACTTAGGGCATAAGATAACAGATTGAAGATTCATTGTCCAGACAGAAACATTTTCTGATGTATGACGCTTATCATTATCTTTACTAGCTCTTGCTTCATTTTTAAGTGAAACGTGTTTGTTATAAGCATCTTGAGAGATATTAAAGTGTTTAAAGCTAATGCAAACATCGCATTGGTCTTTACGATGAATAAATACAGAAAAATTTAAAGATTGAAGTAGTTGATAGAAATTTGTCAAGCTGACACCGCGTACACTAGCCTTAGTTACATATGTAAGATATTGCTTGTGTAATTGGGTTATATTCGTATCTGGATATAGATACCTTTTATTCTGATATGTTGGAATGTTTCTACAATAATGAGATGGGACTGCCTGAATATTTTAGAATGTTGCTACATACATCTGTGAAATCACAATTATGGATTAAATAGTGTAGACAGGTTATATATCAAGCTCGATACATGTGTTGATTAGACGTTATAGGTATATTTATTTAGTAAATTCAGTTAAAGACAATGAGTACTGGTACCTGTTTTAGTTTTTCTAGGAATTTCGTTTTTGTCAGTAGTGTTATCTTTAAATGACTTTTCAATCCAGGAAACAATGGTTCTGTCTGACATTCCAAGAGTGGACGCAAACATTGATTTGCAAACTTGCAGAGATTTTCCACTTCCTAACTTAAGGTGATACGACAGCGAGCAATTTCGGTTCGAGTTTAAAGAATTTTTCTTCTGTTTTATAAGTACCTGTTAGATAATATTAAGTAAAATTAAAACGTTTATTACATTGATATCAATACATATGATCTATTGCAATACAATATAATTACTAATAATTTACAAGGGTGTTGACATATGTGTGTCTTTCTGACCAAGTTTCCATAGCCCAAAAACCTATCGAAAATGTCTTTCCTCTGAATATCAGTTATATCATAGCTTAGATTTTAAACAGAAAGTGGATGAACATCGTTGGCCCATTTCTCTGGCTTCTTTTTCTGTACCTTTTCTTTGTTTGTAAACTTGACCGTCAAGTCGATTTTTTTTATTTATGTTTTGATTCCATGTTTCAAGGCTTTTTCGTTTGTGTCTTTTTCTTTTTAACTTAGTCTCATTTTCTCCATTCATTTGGTTTGGGTTTACTATTTCATTTTCATCATTTATTTGGTTTGGGTTTAGTGTTTCATTTTCATCATTCATTTGGTTTGGGTTTAGTATTTCATTTTCATCATTCATTTGGTTTGGGTTTACTATTTCATTTTCATCATTTATTTGGTTTGGGTTTACTATTTCATTTTCATCATTTATTTGGTTTGGGTTTATTTCGTTTTCATCGGATTCAGATTCACTTCCTGCAAAATATTATCAAAATAAGAGCAAAGGTTGGAAAGTGGAATAAATGGACAAAGAGATGGTCACTTGACGTCTAGGCTAAGCGGACCGGTCATTGTGACCTGCCTTAAAGTTGTAATATATAAAATAAAATCTCTTAAATGATTTTTATTGATGTTGTATATTATAAAGTATTAATTTATCTTAAAGAAATGTACTTACCCGTAGAAGCATCATCCATCAAGGAGTTTAGAAGCTGAATAGCTGCACTGCTATTCATAAAAGGCCTTGCAGCAGCCATTTTCCTTAAGTGAAAAATGCCTCAGTCATATTAATGACTTAGGCATAATAGAAATCTATAAATAACTCACAATTTTATTGGTTAATGAGTCTGAATGTTTGGCAACGGTTACTAAGGACGTTTTTGTACCCTTTAAACTTCAAAGATCAATATTAATAAAAAATGACTTAGGCACTTTTCTTATGAGTCTGACAATATATATTTGGGACTAAAAACTTACAACTATTTGTCTGTCGGTCCATCAACATTTTTTTTTGTGAACACAATTAAAGACTACAGTCTTTATCAGGTTTTAATGAGATCTTGGTCATTTTCGAATTTGAAGATTTTTCGATGAACTGTATTTTAGTTATTGCCCTTGACTTTGCAAAAACGTGTCAAAATTTGTTTGTGAACACAATAGAGACTACAAATTTGAATTGATTTTAATGAAACTTGGTGTGATCATTTATAATGGTAAGATCTTGGTCAAGTTTGAATTTGACAATCCTGTGATGAACGGTGTTTGAGTTATTGTCCTTGCCTTAATAAAAACGTGTTTAAGGACAGATGCACCATTTTTTTTTACCAATCATGCTTTAGCCTCAGAAACTGGAATTTTTTATCTAAGCTAATCAGTAATAGTATTCACAGCTCACCTTTGAAATTTGATCATTCAAATTGACTCGTCATTTCAAGATACTCTGTGATATATAGAAAAGACTGATATAAATAGATAGAAATAGGGAGTAAAATTCCTAGTTTTTTGAAGGAATTATGTGATCTTCGTACAATTCTAGTACTTCTGAAGACTATTAACATATAGTGAG